GCCGTACCACCGCGTGCCGTCTCGCGTACCGCGTACAGTAGTAGGTGACTCTCCGGGAGAGAGAGAGAGAGAGAGAGTGCCGCGCTCCTTTCACTCGTCGCGTCCTTTCTGCCGAATGATCTAGAACGCGGATCGATATAATTGTGAATAACTCCACTTGTGGACGTCGTAGCGACTTGAAACCAACGCCATTGCACGGGGAAAATTACCGCTTCCAGTGAACGTGAAATCGTCCTTCTGTGTGATAAAGATCGAACAGCGTGATTACGTAAGTAAGAAAGACACTTTGTATTTGCGCCAAACAATCTGCGATCGAATTGTTGAGATTTCTTTTTTCGTATCGTGTGTTGTTACGGTGACGTGATTAATTAGCAGTCTCGTCAATTTTACGTTTTCGACGAGCATTCAAAGCGCAATTTAAATAATGAACACCGAATTGATAATAATGGAAACTTGCTATATTCATACTGAGAGACAAAAATATCTAAGAAATAGTAAATATTTATTTGTTGGGTACTAAACAGCATACGTTTACTTACGCACTAATCGAAAATATTTTTTAAATAATAAAATATATATTTCTTTAAAATCTCGATAAAATCTAACTTTTTCATGAAAGCACTTGTCCTATTTAAATAATAGAATTTAGATTTGAGTAAACAGTGTATTCACCAAAAATAAATACTTATTAATTCGTAGATATATTTTTCTCTCAGTGTAGTAGCAACGACATTAACTCTGCTTATTTCAATGACATATTCTTAGCTTACATTTGAGCTTTTGAGGCTTTTTTGCATGTATATTGAAAATTTAAATATTCGTATTTGAAGAGCAAAGCAGTAAGAATTTTCAGGATTAGATACACGGAGAAAATATTACAGTTCTTTTTCATATAAATTTTTTTCAATTGTGTCATATATGTTTTTAATAGACCAAGATTGCTAATAAAGTCTATCTTGTTAAGTAACATTGCAAATTTCTTAGACAGAAAGACAGCAAATATTTCAATAGCATCCTTCAGTTTTCAAATAGCACATGTGAAAAATGAAGGGATAATATATTACTGCATAATTTTAATCTACTCCTCGGTTACAAAATTCTATAATAATTTTTGCCATAAAATTCTCTCTACGCGCATGCGTTCGGGACTGATACTTTTACCCTGTGACGATGCGGGCGCAAAGTGTAGACATTCCCTCGTTTAGTTTTTGCTCTCTTATCCTCACCGCGTGACTTCTCCCGTATCCGCTCCGCGAATTCCGAGTGCGCATAGGTCGCGCAAACGACAGTGTAGTAAAATGTGGATCAATGGATTTTATTAACCGACGCACTTCTCGAATTGTGATTCCATCAAAGAATCGTCCGTTGATTTTATTTGAAACAAAGTTATAAAAATATCGATAAAATTTACTTCAATTTAATAATTGATTTGAGTAAATAATTTCTAATTTAATTAATTGATGATTAATGTAAGCCTGTTTAATTGAAAATATTTTAATTAACCACTGACTTCAAGAAATTTAATTAAAAATTATTCAATTAACGATTGATTTAAAGGAATTCAATTAAAAACTGTTGAATTGATTAAAATGAACGAAAGTAATTAAAGATTATTCGATTAACGATTGAACATAGTCAATGTAATTAAGGGTTATTTAATTGACAATTGATAAGCTATACACACACACACACACACACACACACACACACACACACACACACACACACATATATATAATATATATATATAAAAGCATGTATTCAGCTCGGTTGGTTATCATGAGCAATGTAAATAACTACGGTTAATTTCGATTGATTGGTCAATCGTCTTACCGTGCTTTTCGATTAAATTTGCTTATATTAATTGTCAATTAAATAATCCTTAATTACATTGATCAATCGTTACTATGTATCAATTACTATGTTCAATCATTAATCGAATAATCTTTAATTATTTTCGCTTGTTTTAATCGTTAATTCAGCAGTTTTTAAATTGAATTCCTTCAAATCAATTGTTAATGATGATGAATGATTTTAAATGAGATTTCTTGAAGTCAGTGGTTAATTAATATATTTTTAATTGAATAAGCTTATATTAATCGTCAATTAAATTCGATAATTAATTGAAAAAGTAATTAATTACTCGCAATTCTGGTATACACATGTGTATATATGTATAGCCATATATTATATATAGATATAAATAAAAATCAATAATTCCCTGAAAATTCTTTGGGCTGTGAATTCTCGTTCAACAAACATCATTTTGTGTTGCGATAATATTAATTTGCATGACTAATAAATAATATTATCAACTTTTACTTGATAATATTATTTATCAGTCATGCAAATTAATATTATCGCAGTATAAAATGATATTCGTCGAACAAGAATATATATATATATATATATATAACGAGAAATATTATCAAGATCGTAGAATTTTAGAAGTTTCTTCAGTGTTCGCAAGTTCTGAAATATCAGACTTGACCGTTTTATTCGTAGTGGCGTGTTAGCACTTGGCAGGCACTCTGTACGAATTGTGTTTTCGTATGTTGCAAAACGCAGCAGGCGTTTAATCCTAAATATTGAAACTCTTCGATTATTGAAAAACGCCGTTACGAGGATTCGGCGGCTTTTCCCCAAAATTTGTTCGCGAATCAACGGCTCGTTCCGAATAGCTCGCGAAAAGCTGATGCGGTGCCGCGAAAAAGCGGTGATCGGTATTTTTCGCGGCGAGCGAACGTACAGCGTTCGCTTTGAGATGGGCGAATGGAAAAATGATTTTTGACGCGTAGGCTCTTTGTCTTCGGTGCTGTTCGATTAAAATATTTCAAATAGACAGAGGCAATGTGTTTTTTGGCCGGGGCTAGAACTGCGCGTACAAACATCGCGCTACAGGCGACATCGCTCGAATACGCTACAGTTTCAATGGCCGCCCATTGAAACGGAATTTATAGTTTTTAGTGTGTGTGGTGATGGATAACTTTTCGAACCACAAAACACGGGCTTTTGAGCAATTTTCGCAAACGTGTCCAATGCAGGGAGTAGCAGTTTCAGAGCGGAGATCGCGTGTGTATATATAACTAACATCCTGTATATTCTCGACAAATGCAATTTCTTAACGTTCGTGGAAAACATTTTATATAAAATGTTAACGTGTTGCGTGCATCATGGGAAAGAATTCGCGGACACGCGTCATTTTTCGCGTCATTTACGCTCTTGTGAACACTTTTTTTTTTAATTTTGTGCTCTTGATTAAAATGCCAAACTTACTAGAATTCAAATTGTATTAAATTAATTAACGAGTAAATTTGATATTTATGATAGACCTCGTGATAGATTTGTGAATGATACTTTTGTGAGGGTGTAGAAGAGATTGAGGTAAACGCAACATACCGTTTTGCATAATAATCATAGCGATATTAATTAAAGAAAATTTGTAAAATTTATAAATAATGATGCTTCACATGGTACATGAGTTGTAATGACGATGTCTATCGTCGTGTGTGCTTGTATATTTAAACTAAATAAAAAAGTCCTCTACCATTTTGCAAATGACCACGTCGATTTTTAATTATTAATTAAAGAGGATTAGTGCATTATCGCGCAAAATCGTGTAACAATTTTTTTCAATTAATAATTAAAAATTTACGTGGTCATTTTCGTGGAAATTTTGGCCCCATATTAAACCTTAAATTCTATGACGCAGTAGGGGCAAAGTAGGTTTAATTTTAATGATGCAATTTACTCTTACTTTGATTCTGATGTCCGAAATTTCCTTTAACGTCAAAATAAACGTTGAATGGAATAATAAGACTGAAAGCAGGATCAAAATTTCGACTCGGGCAGTGGCTATTTTTCTGTTATACAGCCGCATTAATTGTGTATGTAAATAAAGAAATAACGTTTGCGAATCTGTCTAAAGATAGAGAAACAGCTTGTTTATCTATAGAGAATAATTCTCCGTTAATGGCGCGAATCAATCCTTTTTTTCCTCCCTCCGAAAAGAGAGAACACGTTTGCGATATCCTGGTGCAGATTATTCTATATCGGATCTGAAATAAAAATTACCGTCGATATTTCGGGACGTTATGTCGATGAGAAACTTTTTAGTTCGAAAGGACTCAAAGCGCCGCTATTCGATATTCCGCACAAAGGCCTATACGCGATACGAAACAACGCCATTAAAGTGATGGCGGCGAAACGAAATGAGAATAATCGAGCAGCTCTTTCCGCGCTTTCGTGTCCACTCGATCGGAATGTCGATGAAGAACTTTTGATTTAAAGGGCCGACGCTCTCGAATGGCCGCGTCGTTGGGTTCCTTGCGCGCGCGCGCGCAGATATCGTACGAATTTCTACGTCGCGAAAAATAATTTATGAGAGCCTTCTAAGAGGGTATTTCATTGAATGTGGTGACGTTGATAAAAGTAACACGTATGTCGAACGCAATTCTTATGTCAATATCCGATTTATATCGAGCGGAAATTTCGTAGAAATTTCGCAAGGATAACCTAAAGAGATTACGCAAAATCGTGATTCGCGCATTGACATTGATCTAATTACTTTACCAGCTATTGAAACGGGAAAAGGTCTTTTCCGTGTTAGAAATATCGACGCGGAAATGTGACGCGCGTAAGACATCTCCGAATTAATTAGCGGCGAATTAATTAGGAGAAGCGCCGTCAAAGATACGGCATGTAATAATACTTCATCATCTTCCCGATTACCGATAACCCGGTTTTATAACTATTTCTCTCCCTCTTTCTCTCTCATTCATTCATTGCACGGTGTTACATGTGCCGGCGATATAGCGAACTATTTTTCTATCCGTCTCTTTTTTCATCGCCCTTCTTCCTTCTCCTGAACGCGCAGCAAGTCGGCGAGT